AAAATTCAGATTACCCTGTGAAGACTTCTTAACCGACTCCAATCGGCACCAAAATTGATATGTGATATTTGTGACCGTCGTATTACCGATTGAAGGGGTGAGACTGAAAAAAATCGCTCATTTCATTTTTTTTTTAGGACCACCCTAATGTATATATACCTACATATAAGAATTGCTTGCAAACGAGTTTAATTTACATATTCTAGGCTTTGATTGGCTTTAAGGTAAATGAGTTAACAGCTTGTTTTGGCTTACATACCTGCACAGCTGTTGTAGGTTTATTATACTCATGTATGTACATACATATGTATGTGCGGTTTGACTGGTTATATAGTAGATAGGTATATCTAATTGACTGTTTCAAATTTCTTTTGTTGTCGTTAGCTTAATTAATTTTTACAGCTAAGAGCAAAATGCTATGCTTGACAATGTATTTGCCGGTTGTAAGGACATCATCTATGTATGCCTTCGGGAAGAAATTAACTGTAGCTTATGTTATGGTATTCATTTTAATGCTGCCTGAGTAGTAGTAAATTTTAGTTGCCAAATCGATTTTTGTATATCTTGTTGATTTTTGTTGTGCTATGAACAAATGCTACTTTTAAAGACTTCGGATAAATTTTCACTCGTTTATTTTGAAGCAACTTTTTGTTAGAGTCAAAACAAATGTAATTAATATAAAACAGCTTTATGCAGCAAATTGAGAATGCACGGATGCGGAGAAAACTAAAAAAACAAACAAATTTTAATTCTTTCAAAAGTCACCTGAAGCTAGAAGGACCAGCATTGCCAGCGATCAAATCCCTTCTCCAGGCAAACCCATTTACATGCGATCTAACAGACACTAGAGCAAGAACACCACCAACTTCTACTGTTTTCTGGTTGCCTTTTAATTTCGGGTTAAAGTGCGAGTAGTGCTTTTAAAACGGCACGTATAAGTGCTAACTGGAGTTGTCAAACTCGCCAATGCAGCCAACCAACCAGCCAAACAATTAAGTTGTATATTAATTTTTCTGATTTCTCCGGTACCACATAAATAATGATCAGTATAAAAAACAAAATTTTGTTTACTTATATAATTTTAGTAATTCTTATGAGCGTTGCCACATGTGTAAAACATCAAATTTAACTTGAATTGCGGCAGCTAGTAATTGAAATATGTATCAGAATATGGATATCAGACGAAAGTGGTGTAAGAAGGTTTTCGTTTTTGAAGAGGGTTGAGTTAGGAAAAGCTTTTTCTGGACTATTTTTATAAGGTGTTTAGGCGTGACTGTTGACACCAGGCGCCTAAATGCTTGCTATGTACTGCTGCATGTCCAAAAATTTCCCTCATTAACTTTATGAAAGCTTTGCACATGCACTTCTCAACTGCCATGTAATAACACTTTCTTAAGTTATAATTTGATGGCAGTTCGAAGTATGCTCAGCCTAGTATGATGCACCCTCCGGCCTTACACTCATGCAGAGGTAGTAAACGGACTTTACCAATGGTCACAGTGCCTACCCTCACCTTTTTTGCACTAATAAATATTTTTTTTATATACATATGTACATGCAACCGTACTGGTCTCCCCTCTCACTGAGTTATTCAGAAGGGTTGCTACCAGTGTTGCTGCGCCGTCTCAAGAAAATGTATCACCGACCTAGCCAAACGTGTATCCAAATGTATCCAATTTTCTTTTGTTCCATCCATCCATCCATCTCATAATTTGTAAGAAAACCAAAAACCTTAAAGAGAAATAAATAATTTAACCCATCCTAAGGACTTGGAATACATGTACATATATATATTTTTATTTTTCAAAAAATCAAACATTTGTAATTTAAATTTATAAATTACATTTTTTGTGCATAAGTATTTTGCAAAGTAAGTATAATAAATAATAATTAATATGTTACATTTCGACTGCTGAGTGGAAGATCGACCTATCTCGGCAGCCAGTTTGAAAACGCCCTATCCCAAAAAACTTTTCAAAAACGCCCTATTTCAGAACTTTATTGAAAAACACCCTATCTCAACATTTGGTTGAAGAACGCCCTATCTCAGAAATCGCTTCCAAAACGCCTTATCTCACTTCAAAATTTATTGAAAATGTGCTAATATAAGGCGTTTCTGAATCGGCAGCTTAGTTAGGGCGTTTTTGAAACGAATTCTGAAACTAAATTCTGAAATAGGGCATTCTTTACAAGCTTTTTGAGATAGAGCATTTTCGAACTGGCTGCCGAGATAGGTCGATCTTCTACTCAGCATTCGATTTGTACCTGTACACTCTAAAAAGTGCATAAAAAACTACTACTGAACAGTATCTATTTTTCAACAAGAATCTGTATAAATATACGTATAAGATGTTCAGAATTTGATTTTGAACTTGAGGTCTTTAAAATATACACATAAATATACTCATGAAATGTTTAAAATTGCAAAAAATTTTAAACTACTAATACATTTTCTACTAATAAAAAGCATTACGGGCTCACATTTACTCTATTTTAAACATTTTATGTGTAATTTGGTATGTAAAAGTAAAGTATGTGATATGAAAGAGATTAGTACAGAAAGAGTATCTATTTACTTTATTTATATATTAAGATCTTGCTTAAAGCATCCTTTTTAGCTAATTAAAACAATTCCACTTTTATACCTATTTTGGAGAGATCTCTTCATATGTTCATTTCTTCGTTCACAAAAATAAAATGCTTTAATTCCATGCTTAAGTAATGATTTTTAATACATTTAGAAAACGTAATGCTTTCTACCATCTTTAATTAAAATCGATTATTAAACGGAGAAAACTTTATAGAAACTATAAAATTTTGGCCTATTTAAAAAAGTATTCACATTTATACTGATCGGAAAAAATAAGTATCTCTCAAAAATTCGTCCAAAAATGTATCCAATTGGATCTATTTAGATCCAGACGGCATCCCTGGTTGCTACGTTTGAAAAAAATGTATTCAACTTGAACTATGAAGAATATGGATGTCGGACGTAAGAGGCTTAAGAATTTTTAGTTTGAAAATATTTTGAAGAGTGTTGCCACCTGTTTGAAAAGTTGTATTTAATTAAATTATACATAAGGTATTGTGGCGCTCCTGGCTCGTCACTGTGTCAACGCAGGTCCCACTACCGCATTCCTAACGCCAATTCGTATGCCAATAAACGTTTACACACAAGTTGTGTTATTACTCAGAAAACTTTTTATTAACGTCGATTAAATTACTCTTACAAAAAGTTAGGTATCAAAAGTATATCTTCGCGCGACGAGTAGCACTCGCATATATATTTTTTACGAACAGTTACCAAAACGAAAGGAAAAAGAAAATTGTGTACCTACATTCTAGAATGTTGCAAGAAAAAAAAAATGTCGATGTCAAAACGAAGTATGGTTAAAGAGTGCTACCAGATTTTACATACAAATATTTCTCCAACTAAATCTTAATAACAATGCTAGGGTGATAAACCTTTATGTCGCCACTATATGTACAAGATAATATATATTTTAATATGAATGTCAAACAAAGGAATCATTCATAAAATTCCTTTGTGTTCAAATTATTTTGTTTTAGGGTTACCACCTATTCGAAAAGTCATATCAATCCAACTATGTGCATACATATACATATGCTACGCCAAGACATTTCTTACGAAGGTCATGAGATAAGCACTACCATTTCGACTTTCGAAAAAATGAGATGTCAAATTTATGTGAACTAATGTTTTAGTTTTTGAGGCTAGAACTTTTTATCGATAAAGGGTGATTTAAAATTATACAAATCGAACCATGCAAAACTTCTCTTCACTTGGAAACGGCTAGACGAAATTAGATGAAATTTGGCACCACTCCGCCTTTTGAAAAGGGTTGCCATCTGTTTAAAATTTAAATTAAATTGTGGAGTTTTAGGAAGAAGTTTCACTTCAGTCGCGCCTAGGATCCACACATAACTTCTTTTTTTTGTACAGTGTTCATAAGAATATGTTTACATATGTTTACGATGCTCCTCTGCAATAATGACGCAACTCAGAAATAAAAAATAAAATACGCCCTTGCTACTGCTAACTGACTCATGTCTCTAATCCCTGTCAAGTCTCTACTATTTACGTTGGTAATCCTTACTACTACTTTAATAAGGATTACACATGGATTAGACAAGGATTAGTGATATGAAACAATTAACAGGAGCAATGATTTTTTTGTTTTTCATTTTGAGTTTTGTCGTTATTGCAGGGGTTATCGATATGTTCATAGGAAGTTATCTACAAACGTACACTGGCGGTCATTAGAATAGACTCGCCTTACTTTGTGAAGAGTTTTGGCTATATTTCCATGGTTTATTTTATGTTTAATATTTTTTTATAAAAGCCTGGCCAGCTATACAACAAACACCATATAAATCCCCTTTTCGAACTTTATACAAAAATTATAAAAATTCGACAAATTTTCACCAAATTTTTAAACTTTTTATTCAGTCAACAAAAAAAATTGTCAAAAATCAACGGTATTTGCTAGCCACTTGAAATTTAATGGGCTACAAAAGTGCATACCAAAAATTTTTCTAAAAATTCTGAATAAAAAGTTTAAAAATTTGGTGAAAATTTGTCGAATTTTTATGATTTTTGTTTTAAGTTTGAAAAGGGATTTATATGGTGTTTGTTGTATAGCTAGCCAGGCTTTTATAAAAAAATATTAAACATAAAATAAACCATGAAAATATAGCCAAAACTCTTCAAAGTAAGGCGAGTCTATTCTATGGACCGCCAGTGTATATAAGTACATACGTACATTTATGCCATAATAAATGGTTTTTGCTGCCTGCCATTAGTTAATTAAAATGTTTTGCACTAGCTAAAAGCAAAGGACGTTAATTCAGTGTCTGCAGCTGAAAGCCTTTGTTACGTATACGACCTGTCAGTTTTCGGTTTCGCGATAATTAAGCTAAGCTTCTAGCACATTAAACCTTGCATAAAAAACAACTAATTAAATCCTTATTTTTTTCAGGTATCAACATATGCAAATCCCCAGGGGGCAACTAATGCATTTCTCTGCTGAAAGCTGCCGATTTTGAACACTCACTGCAATCGCTGAAGTGATAACAAAAAAAAAGTGAATTAAGCGCCGCACTCAAAGAGAACTTCAGAAAATATTGTGGAAATGCATGTAGTGGAAGGCAAAGCATATTAATAGTAGACAGACAAGGCATTAAACCAAGTGAAGCTGTCGAGTCTGCAAGCTTATACAGCCACAAAGCCAACGGACGCCATTGGCGAGCAACGCTGATTGTAAAGCAAAAAAAGTTATGATGCCGCTGGATAGAAGCTTAACATAGACATTAAAAATACAAAGGCACAAAGCAATAAAGTAACAACTTTGTGTTTGTGTGTGTGTGTGTGCGAAAATAGCCGGAAGCAGAGTACTTGAAAGCAAGCTAGTAAAATAAAACACGTAAATCAGTAGCCATATCGGCAACAGTAACAACAGCAACAGCAAACAGTAATGTTTAAAAGCAAGTGCTAAATTAAAGTGAATGCACAAACAACAAAACAGTAACGCAAGCAGCCGCACTCCATTTGTTGAACCGGAGTGCCAATGTTGCTGTGATACTGACAATGACAGTGAATGAGAAAGGCGCTAGAAATAAAGTGGCATAAATAAAGTAGAGTGCTCAAGAGAATAAAGTTAAAAAATCTAACAACTACAACCAGTGGAAGATTTTGTACAAAAACAAAAAAAAAAATATTAAAATGTGTCGAGCGTTGGTTTTCTGCTGACAGCAGAAGAAATTAACGCAAGAGCCATGGCAAGTCAAGGGAGTGGGAAGAAGGGCAGTAACTAGCAACACCACTGACGTCGCGAGATTCTCAAATGAATCAATTTAAATGCTGAAAGTGTCGCTAGACAAAGTGAAATGCAGAAGATATAGAGTCCGGCTGAAAGCATAGTGGGTTACGGAATGTCAGATGTTTGCAATCAACTTAATTTGTATAGCAAGATAGATTGCGCAGGCAAAGCAAAGCGTAAATGACGCTAATCATATTACATTTGAAGGCCTATGAAGAGTACGAGATATAGGGGGAGAAAGGGGAAGAGAGCGAGTAACAAAAATTGTCGACGACAATAGGCAAAAGGAAAAAGAAGTAGCTTATCTCGGAGCAAAGCGGAAGCAAATGAATGACACTATTACAAGCTGATTATAGCTAAGGCGAAGCAGAACTTTAGCCGGCAAGCAAATACACAAGACACAAGAAGAAAATACAATCGCTTTGTTGAATTTAAGAAAATATTGAAATATAGCATACTTTCTGGCTGAAAGGAGATTAAAAAAAGCTTCCTTTTGGCACAAAGTAAGAAATTATCGCACTTTCAGGGCACATTTCATACCAGCAGGCGCAAAAAAATTTTACCAGCATGTTTCGTCACCCATTCAAATGCTGACATCGCCTATTGCATACTTTAGGGCGCATGCTGCTAAACAAATGCGACACACAACACATCGTGTACCGTATCACAGTAGCACGCGCGCCATGTACCATACAGTCGCTAGCCCCATATTACGACCAGCAGCCATCCTCATCCTCTTGGCCATCTGTCGGCTAACGCTCACCTGCCCAGCTGAGGTTTGCATGTGCAAGTGGAAGGGTGGCAAGCAAACGGTGGAGTGCGGCAGTCAGCAGCTGCCCAATATACCCGAAGGTATGGATCCCGGCACGCAGGTACTGAACTTTTCCGGCAATAGCTTGCAAGTGTTGCAGAGTGAACGCTTTCTGCGCATGGATTTGCTTAATCTGCAGAAGATCTACTTGTCACGCAATCAGCTGATACGCATACACGAAAAGGCCTTTCGTGGCCTAACAAATCTGGTCGAGTTAGATCTCTCGGATAATATGCTACAAAATGTACCCACCGAGACATTTCAGGACTACAGCTCGCTCATGCGTCTCTCGCTAAGCGGTAATCCGATACGCGAATTAAAGACGTCAGCCTTTCGTCATCTCTCGTTTTTGACAACGCTTGAGCTGAGCAATTGCCAAATCGAACGAATCGAGAATGAAGCCTTCATTGGCATGGACAATCTGGAGTGGTTGCGCCTGGATGGCAATCGCATCGGTTTCATACAGGGTCCGCATATACTGCCCAAATCGCTACATGGCATTAGCTTGCAGAGCAATCGTTGGATGTGCGATTGTCGGTTGCTGGATGTGTATGCGTGGCTTAAGAATTACGTGACGCCGCAGGTGGAGGAGCCCAAATGCATAGAGCCACCAAGACTGAAGGGTCATACGATCAAGTCGCTAAATAAGGACGACCTCGCTTGCCTGCCTGAGGTGACGCCAACATCCACGTACACAGAAATCTCAGAGGGACGCAATATGTCGATTATGTGCGTGGTGCGCGCCATACCCGAGCCGCAGGTGCTGTGGCTCTTCAACGGTCAAGTGATGACCAACGAGAGTCTGATCGATAATCTGCATATGTACTTTTATATTGATGAGGGTGGTAGCGCGGAGGAGAAGCGTAGCGAGATTTTCATTTACAATGTAGGTCCCGAAGAGAATGGTACCTTCTCGTGCGTGGGAAAGAACATTGCAGGCATCACATTCAGCAACTACACGCTGCGCGTCATAACCAAGGAGCCGCCTGTGGTGAACGAGGTATCCTTTCCGCGCGACTACATGAACTACATTATGGCCAGCAGCACCGGCGCCGGAGTCATCTTCGTTGTGTTGCTCTGCACGATCGTGATTAAGTGCAAGCAACGACAGCCGAACAAACGCCAAAAATTTGCAGGTGGTGGCTCCGTTACGAATGTGGTAGGCGGCGGCAGCGCGCATTCAACCAACACAAATGGCAACGAGACGGCGTTGATGAAGTGCTCCTCGATACTCAACGATGGCGAGTCTATGAATGGCGGCGCCGGTCTACTGATGGCTGACGCAATGACGCCAACGAAAATGTGCAAAGAAAATGGCGGCGTCATTATTGGTGGTCAGATGAAGCAAAATCTGCTGTTATATGCGCCCGCTCACTACCAACAACAAACGCCAACAGCTGCGACGTTAGCCGGCGACAACACTGGCAAAGCGCTACAGCTGAGCGTGAGCATGGCTGGCGCTAGCGGCACGCCGCCACCTATTTTGGTAGGCAATGCCATGAGCTACTGTTCGCCACCCTCGTCAGTGCGCAACTACCAAGAAAAGAACCCCGATTTAGTAAACGACGCAGAGAGCGGGAATCACAATAAATTGAAAACAGCGTCCTCACTGGACGGGGACTATGACGCCGCTAGCGACTGTTCGGGTCCATGTAGCATACAGGGCATGTCAACGACACCAGTTCCCTTCGATAGCTGCTACCAGCTGGCGCCGCATTATGGCTCACAAATCATACGGCCAGCGAATATGCAGCTGAATTCTGCGGCCGCCTCACGCTTTGCCGCCATGACAACATTGCCGCGTGTCATGCAACTGAAAACTGTAATGAATAGCTTAAGCGCAGCACCCGCGCCGCAGCATCAGGTGGACGTGCACTTGAATCCCGTTTGTTTCTTGGGACAGGACGGCTTTGCGTATGACTACAGCAACGCGCATATGCAACAAGCCGCGCCACCACCGCCTTCGCATCATCACCTCCAACTGCAGCCACAACATTCGCTAGGCGCCGAACCTTCACAGTCGCAGCACATACAACAACAGAACTATTATCGCACCCTGCCACACAATCGCGCGCACAAACAGCAACAATTTGCCGCCTCGGCCGCAAATCCTGGCATGCGCTACAGCCTGGAGGCTGAGTTTCTGCAGCGCTCCGGCACACCAACGTACGACAAGTATATGCCCAATGTGCGCTTCACAGCCGAGGGCTATCCGCTGGCACAACAACAACAACAGCAACACTTGATGCAGTATCCTTCACCGCCAGATGGCTATAAGAGCAGTCAAAGTCCAGCGCCAAGCATGCATGACGGCAGCGCGGGCGGCTGCGGCGCAAGTAATGGTGCTTCAACAATCTCAACCGCTACATTTCAACAGTGGCCACCTTGTTTGCCCGGCTATCACGTGCAGGCCATACGCTACTCGCCAACTTTTGTTGGCGTGCTAAGCCCGCAGGCACACACACAGCAGCCGCACATAGTGCAACAGCAGCACAAATCCACATCAACGGTTGCTCTAACGCCCAACGGTCAAACGAATCAAACGCAAGTGCCCATAACAACAACATGCGCGACGTTTACCACAACGAGCACTAACACTGGCCCCACCATGTCCACATCATCATCATCAGCTGCTGTTAAACGTTGTGTAGCCGCACAAGCTGACGCCTCTACCATACCCGAATGCGATGAGAATGACGTTTCGCCCACCACATCGACGGCTGCCAGTAGCAGTAATGATGGCAACAGCAGCAGCAACAGTAGTAGCAGTAGCAGCAGCGCAACCACAGTGACTATGTCGGCAAGCAATACAACAGCAACAACGACAGCCACTGCAACGGCAACCGAAGAATCCTCAAAGCTGCGTCATTTAAATGGACCGCTAGCTGATAGTCCAGACGAAGGTTACGTTGGCGATTCGCATGAAGGTTCAGATATATGACGACGCGGCGCCAATGGCAGTTGTAAGGGGGGTAGTAGTGTTACTGCAAGTTCGCTCAAAATGGACGACTCAGTGGCGCTGTAGAGCAGTTTTTCAAGTAAATATACAGACAAATATAGTACCCCTAAGCATACGCATTTCGAAATTATGGGTAAAGATACGCGCGCCGGTACATTAACTCAAATAACATACAAATGCAGTATCTGGAAGGACACATGCACTGCCCACAGTTGTAATCATTAAATTGCATTAATTTAGTGCTTTCAAGCAGTAAGCACTTATCCGTGAAACGATGCGGTGGTCAAAAGTGTGCAGTGGCTTGGTGCTGCGGCATCGCATAATGAACCTTAGCATATGAATCCCTTTCAACACTTGCACTCTTCTAGGCTTTGTCTGCTCGAGGGCGGACAATTACATTGAAAAATTTATGTCCTTGCTAAGTATCCAATGGCTAAGCAAAATTATTGGTCTGTCTAGAGCCACATACTGTTACCATGTATTTACTGTGCTAACTAAAGCTATTCTACATATTGTCGGTGATACTGAAAAACGGTCTATGTCTATTAGTACTCTTGACACTTTGATGGTCTCTTACGTGCACCGGAATGCATCTGTAAATTGCTACACCCTAATAAAAGAATGACAAACTGTCTACCTTTGGCTGACGAAGATGAACGGTTGCCAGAAGCGATCCGATATATGTAGATAACAGATCATTTCAGCACCAGAGGTAATAAGTGACATAGAACGTTTTGCAGTATCACCGACGATATAATTTTAGCGAAGCCACGAAGAGGAGTAAGGACGCTAGTCCTACCTAATAAAAATCATTCAACTGCGAACATGTTGATGCTTTCGCATTCCTCAATCCTGTGCTGGCTTGTTACCCGCAGAGCATTTGTCGCTTCTATTTAACCCGAATTCGGCAACAGTTTTTAAAAAAGTTTTCTTTTAATTGTAGGTAAAAACCAGATGTGTATCCTTAAAACATCGAATATGCAAAGCTTTTGGCTTTAGTATTTTTTTAATTCACTAATTTTGCCATTTTAATTCTGGCAACACCAGTCTGTTTGCGAACTTTTTGTACCATATTGTTACTTTTATACTTGAAATAATCCAGGATTTCTCATATTCTTCAAGAGCTTTCTGTTTTACAACTAAATTCTATGTGCCCTGTTGCAGATGGAAGTTAGAAATCATTCCTGCAAAGTATAAGTACTCTGGTTCTCCTATATTTCAATATTTCGGAGCCCTAATTTGCATAATTTATTTAATTAAACTCATTAATTTTATTTAATTTCCTTTTGCGAAATTCCTTCGGGCGCGTAATTCTCATTCCTTTGCCAATCGCTCTTCTCGCATTTGCATCAATTATTTTGGGGATTTTTTGGTATTTTAATTATTTTTCATACCACTCTTCTCTATTTCTGTTGTCTTCTTTGGCATCGACGTTCGTAGTCAATCAAGCGTTAAATTAAAAGAAAGTTTTCTTTCAAAGGCTGTAGCGTCCGTTGTGCAGGCAGAGACTCAGCTCGCCCTTTAATACATATTTTCGTTAAACTTAATTTTTACAAGTAATTTTGAATACCTTCTGAGGGTTGGGGTGACTAAAGCGTAGGCAGTAAATTTGAAGCTGTTTGAATTTATTTAGGATTTGAATGCATATAAAATTTTTTAAAGCCAATTGTATTTAAATATGTGCCACTTACTGATAACATTATCTAACAATATCTTCATTGATAAATACTTGATTGATAATGGCCTTGCTTATTTAAAGCTTTTATTATTCTCGATAATTTTATAGAAATATATTTACATTAGGGTGGTCCAACATTTTTTTTTCAGCCACACCACTGAAATGAAAAATATCGAAAAAAGGATACCCATATTTTTTTATTTTGAAATCGGTTAAATACCGTGGCGCCAGTGATTTGATACTTTATATCGGTAAAATAAATTTTTTCGTAAGTATTTAGAAAACTAAAAAAACGGGTATCCTTTTTTCGATATTCTTCAATTCTGGTGGATGGTAGTGAGAAAATGCCAGTATATGTTTGAATTTCCCTACATAATATTTATATAAATATCTTCTTATTTAGTTCTAAAAAAAGGAACTAAGTATACTTGAAAATATTTGAAATTTTTTTTTAACATTTTTATTTTTTTATTTTTATTTTTATTTTTTAATATTTAATATTTATTTTCCACCTAAGCTAAGATATTTCTAGCGTTGATGTTTTTTAAATTTTTAACGACTTTTTATCGGAGTTGCATGAATATAATGACTCCGATTTTTTGTACATTTTTACCAATATTGTTGGCATTACCTATTTGTGACTGTTGCTGCAAACAAAATATTTATAAGTATAAAATAATATTTATCAAAAACGTTGGCGAGGAGTTACTTTTCTTACGTTTTTCAAAATAGTTAATATTAGAATTCGATAATTTTACCGATATTATTATCAAAGTAATATTTAACGGTGTTGCAAGAGAATATCTATCGATACTTTATTGATTATATTTCTGCCTTTAGATATACCGATCACGTTTAGGCATGCATATTTTTATCGATATTGGTAAGAAAATAAGTATTTCATTAATGTTGTCATTAAAAGGTGTTCACATCAGGCGATTTTACAGGAAACTTTAGAGACGATTCTTTGAATCAAAAGTTGCCTGCCCCCTCCCAACTTCATTGGAAGCGATTAGTTGAAGGTTCGTTCACACCAGGCGATTGTTGCTGTCAACTAAAAGTTTCCTGTGAAGTCGCCTCATGTAAATACCGCATTAAAATACATATTTATTGATATTTAAGAATCTTTATCAATAACATGTTCGATAAATAACTTTTCACACGTTTTTTTATATAGGTTTTACAATCAAGATCATTATTTTTATCGTTATTTGTTTTCAAAGTATTTCACTTTTTATCGGTGGAACAAAAGAATATTTATCAACAATTTAGACGATATTTTTGTCATTAACTAAAGCTATCCTAAAGTTTTTTTTCATATTTTTGTCACTGCTGGAAACAAATTGATATTTTATTGCTTATATGTAGAATGATATTTGTATCAAAATTATTCACGATTTTTTATCGTATATCTATAATCGTTATATCACAATTTTTGTACAGTTTAATGGATATTTGCAACACAATCGATATTTTGTTCCCGCTGTTGTTAAAACATTTATCGATATTTGAAAATATTTATCGATAGGTACTTTTGATAATAAAAAAATATCGTTTTCCATGCCTTTTAATAATCTGGTGATATATTATTTCGATCACTTTTTTGGCTTAAAATATGACGGTAACGATTAGTTTTAACATTTTTATAGATACTTGTAACAAAATCAATATTTCATAGATGTTTTTTTTTTAATAGTTATCGATATTTTCATTGAAATAAAATTCTGCAGAAATTTTTTTCGTAGAGTTTCTAGAGTTTTGTTGTTAAATGTATCGGTTACGACGAATGTAGGCATTTACAAAACAAAACAAATTTTTTTTTTTTTGAATAAAAGGACACAAATTTATCGACAAAAATATTGTCTTGCAGTAGACGTATCGAAAATGGCAAATGTCACATATTCAAAAACTAATTCACATGCTTTTTCTTTCGCCCACATTTAATTACAAAACTAATCGTTCTTTCAAATATCTCGTGTAATTCTACTTCATCAACGAAAAGTTTGACCTACATTTGTGTTACTACTTAAAAACTCAAACGGAAAACTTTTGTTGGCTCACTTTCAAAACTACAGATTTTGCGCTAAATAGCCATAGTATGAGTCGCCTAAGGTTACACTTTAAGCAACTAGTTGCTTAACTTTGATTTCAATCTACTCATAACTTCTGGTCAATACCAAGAAAAATGGCGTATCAAATTCGCAAATCTGGTCACTTAATTCAATGCGAAAGTTAAGAAAATAAAAACGATCGAAATATAAGCAACGTTGAAGAGAATGCAGTGAAAAAAAGTTTAGGAGTACAATTAAATATTTTAATTTTTTTTTTTTGTGAAACAAAAGATTTCTTTCAGCACTGAGCTTTTCCAATCGTTTTCTTACCGTCCATTGTCTGAGTTGGCAAGTTGCTGCCCACTCCCACCCGACATAGAATTTAACCTCTAATTCCACCTTCCGAATTGCTTTCCTCTCCCTCTCTCTCGTTTTGACATACTTTTTTGACTTATTTTTCGTGTGCGATTTTATTCCAGTTGATGTAATTGAAAAAGTTTTCATTTAATTTAAACTTTCAACCATTCGTGTGACACTCACCTACACTCACCTACACACATACACACACACACATGCACAAGGTGCGTCAATTGTTCGCTATCGCTATGGCAAAGATTTTAGAAATAAGCTGAATATTTTTCCAACCGAGTCTTATTGTTAGACAAGCTGTTTATTGCGAGTACAATAATGGGAAAGCAAGCAGCGCAGCAGACACAGAAATTTATTCATTTAAATAGTCTGCTGTTCGGGATACGAGGTACGACGAGTACACTTGCTAAACAATTGATTTGCAGAATAATTCCCGTAAGCTTTCTAACCACCGCGGCCTCTGCGTTGGCACAGGTTATCTTATAGATGGCAATAGGGGCAAAAGTTGCAGAGCGACGGTTGAAAATGTCTCCCACTTCTGCGCTACAGGACGCATTTAATAGGCCAATATGGAGGTGAGAGTAGAAATTACTTACTTAAGAGGAGTTAGCAGCAGGTGGGCAGCCGGCAAGTTGGCTTGAGCTACTATTTACATACATATGCAGGTAAGGATTCTTAACTCACCGAACAACTGGATGCAAAACAATGAAATGCTTCAAATATTCCTTACACTTTGCAAAGTACTTGTAGAATTGGTAGCATGGCTACTATATACATATAGCGTAGCAGTTGCATTATTAGGGTAAAGAAATGAAAGCAATTTAAGTGTAGGTGAACAACTTGAGATGCTTTATAAAGGATTCTTATAGATTTGTATGCATGAAAGACATTTCTGGAAGTAAGAACCATG